GACAGTTGCTTTGCAGGAAAATTCCTGTTGAAACATGGGTAAGTAGTTCAGAATTCGGCCATCTTGTCTGCAGAAAGTGTCTACTCTGCTTTGACTGCTGGGAGAGAAGCAAATTGGAAACAATTTAAAAGAAAAAGGGAACAATAGTGAGCAGGATGAATCAAAGTCTTTAGCTGTGTGGGAACAACTGTCCACAAGTGAAAAGCATTCACAAAATTGTCTAGGTACTCTTGGACTATAAAAGCACCTGGTTGCTGCCCAGGTGAGCTTCTATTGTTTTTTTTTTTTCTTTCTGAAAACAAGGTCCCCACCGCAGTACAGTGCAGCAGCACAGCCTCTGGCCCACGAGTCAGAATAAACCTTCTCAAGGCATCAGCCGCACAATGGAAAAAGTGCAGACAGGTGCAGAAGAAGCTCTTCCATACGTGCTTAGCCGGTGGGCGCTCCAGGAGAGGACAGGCCGGGCAGCCGATGGCAGGAGGTGCGGTAATGCAGCAGCTCTCTGCACGTGCGAGAGCGAGCTGCTGCCGGAGCGCTGAGGGAAGCGGTCTTGCCTTTCATCTCTCTAGCTTTTGTCCACCAGATGTCATCTGAGAAGCACTCGACTGCTACTAACAGCGTGGCCCTTCCTTGTATTCTTTCCTTCTAGAAACCAGCAACAAGCTTTTACTGTGTACATGTAACATAATTAAAGATAGAGGAGACTGAAATATGCTGACTGTAAGGAAGCTTGGCCGGAGGGAGTGTAAGGATTTTCTGCTATAAAACAGACATAACTTCTCTGCCCTGCTTGTAGCTTCCCCTTAGCACCATGGCCAAAACCTCTACACCCACATCCAGACACTTGTTAGTCATTTGAGCAGCTGCTGCCCTCATACGCAGTACCAGTGTTCACCCCTGCAGGATGCCCCAAAGCATCTAACTGGCCCCAGAGGCTCCACATCACATTGCCACGGTCACATAGGCACTTGTAGCAAAACCTGCAGTGCCGGTGCTGTTGCATGCTGCTTTTTGTACACACAACTGCAGACTTTCCCACTGTATGATACCAGGAAAAAGAACCAACGGGCTCCTAGAATCATGATGTAATACGCCTAGCAGACTGAAAATGAGGAAGGGCTGTGGTCAGCAGCTGAAAGAGAAAAGCGAAGTGGACTTTGCCTTACTCTTTCAGTTTGCTTGTCAGCTAGTCGGCTTGTCAGCTAGTGGCCCTGAATATGCAGCAGGAGACTTTAATGAGGCCTATGAGTCTGAGAACATAAATTTTTTACTTAGGCTTTCTGGCGCTTGGGGAGCACATTTCTTACATGGAGTTTAAACATACCATTTGCATATGACAGATCCTATCTTGGAAGACATTTTTCACAGACTAAGGCCATTAAACCTCTCCCTCCAGGAGCTCCAATAGCCACCACAGACTGGGCTGCACCCAGCCCTTCTGCTATCCCTCAGCTCCTCTTCATCTGACAGGGGCAGGAAAACTCCCCATTCCTTATCTGATCTGTCCCAGCTGCCTGGCAGCCAAGACACGCACAAGTTTGTTTCCCTGTGGTTTCAGCTTGATGTGGTCATATCCCAGAGTCTTGTATAGCACCTGCCTAATTTGTCCCATGTGCCAGTGAGCTCTAGGCTGTCACTAGCTATGCTTTAGGTGCAAGGGACTTTGGTTGGTGGTCGGTGTGATGGCAAGCAACAGCAGCTTGGCTTTTCATGTTTCATTCTATTAGAAGGCCTCTCCAAGGAAATTAACCCACGTGGTATAGCAAGAGGGGAGGAGACAGCAGTTTTAGGTAGTGCTGCTAGGAAAATGTAGATGGTACTAGAAATAAATCTACCTTCATGTTGCCCTAGAAAACATCTGTTCATCTAAACTACCATTTATTTCCCTTTCTGTGAAGAACAAGAAAATAAACCTTTATATGGACTCAGTCTGTAATCTAAATTTCACACTGCAAGTGAAGGGGAGGTTCAAAAGGGAAATGAAAAACTGAACAAATGCACTTGACAAATCCAGGGGTCCCAAATGAATAAGAGCTTTTCGTTTTAGTGTCCTTCACTCTCTCCTGATGTATAACCATGTAAAAGACAACAGATTCTCACCCTATTTCATCCTATTCTCTTCTT